CATTAGCTCTGATGCGCTGGGACCCCTAGCTGTGTTGTCAGATCTCCCCAACTGGACTACAGAACACCTCCAGCTTATGTTGTGGAAATGAGGATGGCAGGAGGTGTTCTGTGGTCCAGAAGGAGAGTACTTGACTACATTAGCTCTGATGCACTGAAACCCCGAGCTGTGCTGTCAGATCTCGCCAGCTGGACTACAGAACACCTCCTCCTTATGTTATGGAAATGAGGATGGGTCGCAGCTCATTTCTTTTTCAATTACATTTCTTGCACGATTCTCCTATCAGTCTGGGTTTCCTCCGGGTACTCCGGTTTCCTCCCACACTTCAAAGACATACTGGTAGGTGAATTGTCCCTAGTATGTGTATGTATGAATGTGAGTTCGGGACCTCAGATTGTACGCTCCTCGGGGGCGGGGCCTGGTGTGAATGTACAATATATATGTAAAGCTGCATAAATTGATGACGCTATATAAGTACCTGAAATAAATAAGTTACATTGCGTGGGCAGAAATTCGTTATTTTTTTTTTAAAATTTCGATCGCTGAAATTTGACGGATGCTGGAAAATCGTCCGTTGCTGTGGCCCGCTAAGTTCCAGGTCACACCGATCTTTGAAATCATTCCAACTTGCGGTGCGACTCGCTGGACGTCTGCCGCTTGAACGATGTCTATGCAAGGCACAGCGGAAGTCGTGCATGCGCTACTTTAGAGATCGCTGCGATTCCCAAGTCGGAATCGCACCGATAGGACCGCTTTGATGGCGGACAACACGCTGCCACCTGCCATGTGATTCAAAACATTGCATGGCAAATCGCATGGCAAGTCACACCCGCTGTGCCTGGGCTCTAATGGTCCCAAATTCCAACAAAAATTCTTAGAAAAGATTTTTTTTAAAGCAAATTATTTTGGAATTCGACCCGCGTATGGGCGACTTTAACTTCCGCTTGTTCATTTAACCGCTTCCTGTCCGCCCCATAGCAGAAATACTGCTACAGGACGGCACGGCTGCGCAGAGTCACATATATATATACGTGATTTGCATATCCGGGTAGGGAGGCGTGCGCTGCTATTGGCGGCTAGGGATGTCAATTACTAGGTCCTGTCCACCGATTCCCAGCCGACATTCGGTGATCGTTGGCAAACCTGACAGGGGAGAGACCTGAGTGTAAACAATGCAGATCTAACCTGCCAGCGAGGACATGCTGCTTTGTATCTCTCTGCACAGCATGTCTCCCTGGTAACACAGCACACAGTTAACCCTTTGATGGCCCTCATGTTAACCCCTTCCTGCCCAGCGCCATTAGTACAGTGTCAGGGCTATTTGTTAGCACTGATCACTGTGTTGGTGTCACTGGGGATGTCAGTGACACTGCACAGGAACCGCACCGCATTTCTGTGCAAATCATGTGTGATTTCTGTGCGGTGCGATTGGAGCCGTACCTTTTGTATGCCTCAAATCGCACTGCATACGCGCCATAAAAGCGCAGGACCCTTTTTTTGTCACCAGAGAGAGGGGGGGTGGATGGAGAGAGAAAGAGAGAGAGAGAGGGGGGGAGAGAGAAGGGGGAGAGGGGGGGGGAGATGGATGGGGAGGGGGGGGGGGAGAGGAGAGGGGGGAGAGGGGGGGGAGGGGGGAGATGGATGGGGAGGGGGGGGGAGAGGAGAGGGGAGAGAGAGGGAGGGGGAAGGGAGGAGAGGGGATAGAGAAGGGGGGAGAGATGGATGGAGAGAGAGAGGGGGGTGGATGGAGAGAGAAAGAGAGAGAGAGAGGGGGGGGGAGAGAGAGGAGAGAGAAGGGGGGGAGGGGGGGGGGAGATGGATGGGGAGGGGGGGAGAGGAGAGGGGAGAGAGAGGGAGGGGGAAGGGAGGAGAGGGGATAGAGAAGGGGGGAGAGATGGATGGAGAGAGAGAGGGGGGTGGATGGGGAGAGAGGGGGGGAAGGGGGGGAGAGGGAGAGAGAGAGAGGGGGGGAAGGGGGGGAGAGGGAGAGAGAGAGAAAGAGAGAGGGGGGAGGGGGAAAGAGAGGGGGGTGGATGGAAAGAGAGAGAGAGGGGGGAGGGGGGAGAGGGGAGAGAGGGGGGGAGGGGAGAGAGAGAGAGAGAGAGGGGGAGATGGATGGGGAGAGAGAGAAGGGGGAGGAGAGAGGGGGGAGAGATGGAGAGAGACAGAGAGGGCGGGGGGGGGGGGGGGTTGCTTTAAAACGTACCTTTTTGTGGAGCTGGTGCAGAGATCACTTAGGTTCAGGGGTGGACTGACAACTCATGGGGCCCCCGGGCAATAGGGGATCATGGGGCCCCTGTGTCTTTGCCCAAACTCAAAAAGCCTATGAAAAAGGTACCAGGAGCATCTCATGGGGCCCCCTACTGACCCCGGGCCCTCGGGCAGTGCCCGAGTTTCCAAATGGTCAGTCCTCCCCTGGTTAGGTTGCAAGCCAACAATCCCCGCAGGTTGGATCAGATCTGCGGATTGTGGAGGATAATGGATCGGACTCTGATCCATTATGCTCAATCCGCAGATCCGATCCATCCTGCGGGGATCATCGGAGGGGGTGTCAATAAAAATAAGACCTACACAAAGATAAGCCGTAGTGCATTTTTTTAACCTAAAATAAAGGTAAGACAGTGTCTTATTTTCAGGGGAACACGGTATATAATTAAAATGATTTATATATATATATATAGTACAAAATTTATATTAATCATAATAATGGACCTCAAAAATAGATCAATAAATAAACAAATAAATTATATATATGTGTGTGTAAAAAAATTATATTAATCATAATACTGGACTCCAAAATTAAAAAAAATATATAAATAATGATGAACTCCAGAGTAATATTTCTTTCCTGCGGCCGGTGTAGATGCGGCTCTATGGTGGACAATGGCGGGATGTATAACATGGACCTGTAATGGGAGAATACAAGGAGAGATGTATCAGAAGGAAATGTTCTTACTTACCGGGGATGAGGATGAGCCCCAGGATGAGGAGAGCGATCGCGGCTTTCATTATGACGTCCTGCAGGTTCTGCTATGAACTGTGTAGGGGCCCCGGGGCCTGTGAATTATAATACCAGGGGGCGGGGCTATGTCACTGTTGGTAACATTATATAACTCACAACCCTGTGACAATATTTGATCAGAATTGCTAAATAAAGTCTGTTGCCTTCCACGTTCTCTGTTTACATTGTAGAAGAGGGTGCAATGATCCCTCAGTGACCGGGGATGGATGAGGACCTTCACAGGGCTCTCTGTCTCTCGTAACAAATGACTAATAAAATATCCACCGATTGGTAGGACAGAGCTGTGTGTAGGACCACGGCATTGCCTTTAGTGAGAGGGCTGTAGAACATACACAATATTGCCCCAAGTATTGGGCCGCCGACCTTCCCACACAAATGACCTTTAATGGCCCCCCAGTCTTAGTCCGTAGGGTTCAACATTGAGTTGGCCCCGCCCTTTCCACACACATGACCTTTAATGGTCCCCCAGTCTTAGTCCGTAGGGTTCAACATTGAGTTGGCCTCGCCCTTTCCACACACATGACCTTTAATGGTCCCCCAGTCTTAGTCCGTAGGGTTCAACATTGAGTTGGCCTCGCCCTTTCCACACACATGACCTTTAATGATCCCCCAGTCTTAGTCCGTAGGGTTCAACATTGAGTTGGCCCCGCCCTTTCCACACACATGACCTTTAATGGCCCCCCAGTCTTAGTCCGTAGGGTTCAATATTGAGTTGGCCCCGCCCTTTCCACACACATGACCTTTAATGGCCCCCCAGTCTTAGTCCATAGGGTTCAATATTGAGTTGGCCCCGCCCTTTCCACACACATGACCTTTAATGGCCCCCCAGCCTTAGTCCGTAGGGTTCAATATTGAGTCGGCCCCGCCCTTTCCACGCACATGACCTTTAATGGCCCCCCAGTCTTAGTCCGTAGGGTTCAATATTGAGTTGGCCCCGCCCTTTGCAGCTATAACAGCTTCCACTCTTCTGGGAAGGCCATCCACAAGGTTTAGGAGGGTGTCTATGGGAAGGTTGGACCATTCTTCCAGAAGCACATTTGTCAGGTCAGGCACTGATGTCGGGGGGGGGGCCTGGCTCGCAGTCTCCGCTCTAATTCATCCCAAAGGTGTTCTATGGGGTTGAGGTCAGGACTCTGTGCAGGACAGTCAAGTTCCTCCACCCCAAACTGGCTCCTCCATGTCTTTATGGACCTTGCTTTGTGCACTGGTGGGCAGTCATGTTGGAACAGGAAGGGGCCATCCCCAAACTCTTCCCACAAAGTTGGGCACATGAAATTGTCCAAAATGTTGCCTTAAGAGTTCCCTTCACTGGAACTAGGGGGCCAAGTCCAACCCCTGAGGAACACCCCCACACCATAATCCCCCCTCCACCAAACTTTACACTTGGCACAATGCAGTCAGGCAAGTACTGTTCTCCTGGCCACCGCCAAACCCAGACACGTCCATCGGCTTGCCAGAGATAAGCGTGATTGGTCCCTCCAGAGAACACGTCTCCACTGCTCTAGAGTCCAGTGGCAGCGTGCTTTACACCACGGCATCCGACGCTTTGCATTGCACTTGGTGATGGAAGGCTTGGATGCAGCTGCTCGGCCATGGAAACCCATTCCATGAAGCTCTCTATGCACTGTTGTTGGGCTCATCTGAAGGCCACACCAAGTTTGGAGGTCTTTAGCTATTGACTCTGCAGACAGTTGGCGACTTCTGCGCACTGTGCGCTTCAGCATGTGCTGACCCCGCCCTGTCATGTGACGTGGCCTACCACTTGGTGGCTGAGTGGCTGTTGTTCCCAGTGGCTTCTACTTTGTTATAATCCCACTAACAGTTGAGCGTGGAATATTTAGTAGCCAGGAAATGTCACGGATGGACTTATTGCCCAGGTGGCCACCTATCACGGGACCACGCTTGGAGTCACTGAGCTCCTGAGAGCGACCCATTCTTTCACCAATGTTTGTAGAAGCCAGTCTGCATGCCTAGGGGCTTGATTGTATACACCTGTGTCCATGGAGGGGATTGGAACACCTGAATCACATGATTGGGAGGGGATTGGAACACCTGAATCCCATGATATGGAGGGGATTGGAGCACCTGAATCACATGATATGGAGGGGATTGGAGCACCTGAATCACATGATATGGAGGGGATTGGAGCACCTGAATCACATGATATGTAGGGGATTGGAACACCTGAATCACATGATATGGAGGGGATTGGAGCACCTGAATCACATGATATGGAGAGGATTAGAGCACCTGAATCACATGATATGGAGGGGATTGGAACACCTGAATCATATGATATGGAGGGGATTGGAACACCTGAATCACATGATTGGGAGGGGATTGGAACACCTGAATCCCATGATATGGAGGGGATTGGAGCACCTGAATCACATGATATGGAGGGGATTGGAGCACCTGAATCACATGATATGGAGGGGATTGGAACACCTGAATCACATGATATGGAGGGGATTGGAGCACCTGAATCACATGATATGATGGGGATTGGAGCACCTGAATCACATGATATGGAGGGGATTGGAACACCTGAATCACACGATTGGGAGTGTGGGGACAAAACTTGGGGCAATATAGTGTATATTAGTCTGAGTGAGTGATTGACCCTCAGCCCATACACATATATGGAACACCCAGAATCTGCTGCATGGTAACCAATTGGCTTCTAACTTCAGCTGGTTCAATGAAGCTTTGACAATAAATATGGAAGCTGATTGGTTTCTGTGCACCAGATTTTGAAGTCTCTGATTTTACTAAACAACCCCCTATATAGAAGTGGGGGCCCCAGGCTTGTATTGGGATTAGATTTAATAACCTTTAGACAGAGTACAATAAATAATGTTTTTCTTACCCCTCCAAAGCCAGAATGCTTCTTCATTTCAAAAAGCGGGGTCCATCACAGAGATCATTTAGACAATCTTGTTTATAATATATACAGAAGTGAAAAACTGGCTTAGGACACACAGCTTTCAAAAATGATTCACTTGTTACATAGTTAGTCTGGCTGAAAAAAGACAAAAGTCCATCCATTTGAACCAAACAAAAAGTTATAATCTGACACCCACAGTTGATCCAGAGGAAGGCAAAAACCCAGCAAAGCACGATCCAATCTCCTCCTGCAGGGGAAAAATTCCTTCCTCATCCCCCGAGAGGCAATCGGATATTCCTGGATCAACTTTCCCTATAAATGTTATATCCAGTTATATTCTGTGTATCCAAGAAAAGAATCCAGGACTTTCCTACAGCAATCCACTGAGCTGGTCACACCCAACTCTGGAGGGAGTCTATTCCACATTCTCACAGCTCTTACTGTGAAGAACCCCTTTCCGTGTTTGGAGATTACAGATGTAAACAGCTCCCCCTTGTCCTCTGGGATGACCTCAGGCCACTGAACCACTGACGGATTTATACATGGAGACCATATCCCCCCTTATGTATTATACATGGTGATCATTCATACCCCCCCTTATGTATTATACATGGAGATCATATCCCCCCCTTATGTATTATACATGGAGATCATATCCCCCTTATGTATTATACATGAGATCATATCCCCCTTATGTATTATACATGGAGATCATATCCCCCTTATGTATTATACATGGAGATCATATCCCCCCTTATGTATTATACATGGAGATCATATCCCCCCCTTATGTAATATTATACATGGTGATCATATCCCATCCCCCCCCCTTATGTATTATACATGGAGATCATATCCCCCCCTTATGTATTATACATGGAGATCATACCCCCCCTTATGTATTACATATACATGGTGATCATATCCCCCCCCTTATGTATTATACATGGAGATCATATATCCCCCCTTATGTATTATACATGGAGATCATACCCCCCCTTATGTATTATACATGGATGATCATATCCCCCCTTATGTATTATACATGGAGATCATATCCCCCCTTATGTATTATACATGGAGATCATATCCCCCCTTATGTATTATACATGGAGATCATATCCCCCCTTATATGTATTATACATGGAGATCATACCCCCCCTTATGTATTATACATGGAGATCATATCCCCCCTTATGTATATTATACATGGAGATCATATCCCCCTTATGTATTATACATGGAGATCATATCCCCCCTTATGTATTATACATGGAGATCATATCCCCCCTTATGTATTACACATGGTGATCATATCCCCCCTTATGTATTATACATGGTGATCATATGCCCCCCCTTATGTATTATACATGGAGATCATATCCCCCTTATGTATTATACATGGAGATCATATCCCCCATTATGTATTATACATGGTACTTCCTCCACTGTTTCCCCCAATGTTCTTTTTGTAAATTGGAGCCCAAAATTGAACTGCATACTCAGATGAGGTCCTTACTAATGATTTGTACTGTGGGGGGGGGGGGGGGGGGTGGGGGGGGTGATATCTTTTTCTCTCTGGAGTCTATACCTCTCCTTAATACAAGAGAGAGTTTTTCTCGCTGTAGAACCCGCAGCTTGGCATTGCTGCCCATTATTAAGCTCATGATCTATCAGAAACTCCAAGATTCTTCTCCCCATTGACCCCAGTTGTACCCCCCCAGTATGTATGATGCAGATTCTTTGCCCCCAATTACAGAACATTACATTTATCAACATTAACCCTCATTGGCCCATTGTCCCACAATTACACAGAGCATTGAGGTCGGATGTAAGTTGGAGACATACCCTGGAAGGAACGTTATTCCCGGCACAGCTTGGTGTCATCTGCAGAGACTGAGATCCACGATCACCATATCGTATATATAGATTACAAAGTAAGGGTCCCAACACTGAACCTTGGGCGGTTCCCCCACCAACACTGAACCTTGGGGTCCACCACCAACACTGAACCTTGGGGTCCCCCACCAACACTGAACCTTGGGGTACCCCACTAATGACACTAAACCTCAGGGGTTCCCCTCTAATGACACTGAACATCGGGGTACCCCACTAATGACACTGAACCTTGGGGTCCCCCCACTAATAACACTGAAACTTGGGGCACACCACTGACACCCCAGACCATTCAGAGTATGAATCATTAGCCACTACTCTCTGAATACCATCTTTTAGCCAGTTTTCTATCCTTTACATTCAGATTTTTCCAACCTGTAGACTTTTACCTTACACATTAGCCGTGTTGTGAGAAGCTAAAACCAAGTATATACCACGTCCACAGCCACCCCTCTGTCCAAGTATACCACGTCCACCGCCACCCCCTGTCCAAGTATACCATGTCCACCACCACCCCTCGGGTCCAAGTATACCACGTCCCACCGCCACCCCTCTGTCCAAGTATACCACGTCCACAGCCACCCCTCTGTCCAAGTACACCATGTCCACCGCCACCCCTCTGTCCAAGTATACCACGTCCACCGCCACCTCTCTGTCCAAGTATACCACACGTCCACCGCCACCCCCTTGTCCAAGTATACCACGTCCACCGCCACCCCTCTGTCCAAGGTATACTACGTCCACCCCTCTGTCCAAGTATACTACGTCCACCACCACCCCTCTGTCCAAGTATACTACGTCCACCACCACCCCTCTGTCCAGGTATACCACGTCCACCGCCACCCCTCTGTCCAAGTATACCACGTCCACCACCACCCCCTCTGTCCCAAGTATACCACGTCCACCACCACCCCTCTGTCCAAGTATACTACGTCCACCACCACCCCTCTGTCCAGGTATACCACGTCCACCGCCACCCCTCGTCCAATATACCACGTCCACCGCCACCCCTCTGTCCAAGTATACTACGTCCACCACCCCCCTCTGTCAAGTATACTACGTCCACCACCACCCTCTGTCCAGGTATACCAACGTCCACCGCCACCCCTCTGTCCAAGTATACCACGTCCACAGCCACCCTCTGTCCAAGTATACCATGTCTACGCCACCCCTCTGTCCAACTATACCACGTCCACCGCCACCTCTCTGTCCAAGCATACCACGACCACCACCACCTCCTTTGTCCAAGTATACCACATCCACTGCTACCCCTCTGTCCAAGCATACCATGTCCACAGCTAACTCTCCATCCACTGCCACCCCTCTGTCCAAGTATACCACGTCCACCACCACCCCTCTGTCCAAGTATACCACGTCCACCACCACCCCCTCTGTCCAAGTATACCACGTCCACCGCCACCCCTCTGTCCAAGTATACTACGTCCACCCCCTCTGTCCAAGTATACTACGTCCACCACCACCCCTCTGTCCAAGTATACTACGTCCACCACCACCCCTCTGTCCAGGTATACCACGTCCACCGCCACACCCCTCTGTCCAAGTATACCACGTCCACAGCCACCCCTCTGTCCAAGTATACCATGTCTACCGCCACCCCTCTGTCCAAGTATACCACGTCTACCGCCACCCCTCTGTCCAAGTATACCATGTCCACTGCTACCTCTCTGTCCAAATATACCACGTCTACCGCCACCCTCTGTCCAAGCATACCACGTCCACCACCACCTCTTTGTCCAAGTATACCACATCCACCGCTACCCCTCTGTCCAAGCATACCATGTCCACAGCCAACTCTCCGTCCACTGCCACCCCTCTGTCCAAGTATACCACGTCTACCGTCACCCCTCTGTCCAAGTATACCATGTCCACTGCCACCTCTCTGTCCAAATATACCACATCTACCGCCACCCCTCTGTCCAAGTATACCACGTCCACCACCACCTCTCTGTCCAAGTATACCACGTCCACCGCCACCCCTCTGTCCAAGTATACCACGTCCACCGCCACCTCTCTGTCCAAGTATACCCCATCCACAGCACCCCTCTGTCCAAGTATACCCCATCCACAGCCACCCCTCTGTCCAAGTATACCACGTCCACCGCCACCCCTCTGTCCAAGTATACCACATCCACCACCCCTCTGTCCAAGCATACCACGTCCACCACCACCTCTTTGTCCAAGTATACCACATCCACCGCTACCCCTCTGTCCAAGCATACCATGTCCACAGCCAACTCTCCGTCCACTGCCACCCCTCTGTCCATGTATACCATGTTCACTGTCACCCCTCTGTCCAAGTATACCACGTCTACCGTCACCCCTCTGTCCAAGTATACCACGTCCACTGCCACCTCTCTGTCCAAATATACCACATCTACCGCCACCCCTCTGTCCAAGTATACCACGTCCACCACCACCTCTCTGTCCAAGTATACCACATCCACTGCCACCCCTCTGTCCAAGTATACCACATCCACCACCCCTCTGTCCAAGTATACCACGTCCACCGCCACCCCTCTCTCCAAGTATACCACGTCCACCACCACCTCTCTGTCCAAGTATACCACATCCACAGCCACCCCTCTGTCCAAGTATACCACATCCACCGCCCCTCCCTCTGTCTCTGGACTCTGCATTTGGCTGGATGATGTCACTGGGCCCCAAAATGCAGAGAGAACAGGCTGCAGGGACCCGTCTATTGGTGATGATGAGCCTACTGGAGTGGGGGGATGGGACGTTACACTGCTTGATCCAATCCCCCCCTCCCCACCCGTGCCACAAACAAGAATCTAACTATTGCCGGGCCGGCACACCACCACTGCGAGGGAAGATGGTCAGTTGGTATGGGTGTCACCATGAAGGTTCTGAAAGGGTTACAGACCCCCCCCCCTCAGGTTTTCCTGCTGCCAAACACAAAGGTCCCAATATTTCAGCCGACAACCTTCTCCAAACATAGAATCTGGGGTCAGTCTGAAAACAGCCAAAGCAAGCAAACAACAAAGGCTCTGGCAATGAAAGTGGAGCAAAGTTCAGACACAGGACGGCTTCCTCGTGGCACCATTGTCCATGCAGAGTCCTCCGCCTCACTTGTCTGCCACAATGGGAGACACGGGGCCCTAAAGTGGTGGGAAACCTCCATAATGGGCCCCCAGAGAGCAGGTATACCTGACGGGGGCTGGGCCAGTTTGTGCATTGTACCTGGGCGGTAAAAATGTCTCATACCCCCCCCCCCTACAGTCCCCCCCACAGTAAACTCCCCTCTCCACTTTAGACCTCCTCCCTCACTACAGACCTCCTCTCCCCCTCCTCTACTACAGACCCCCCCCCTCTACAGACCTCCTCTCTACTATAGACCCCCCTCTCCAATATAGACCTCCCTCTCCAATATAGACCTCCTCCTCACTACAGACCCCCTCCCCCCTCTACTACAGACCTCCTCTCTACTATAGACCCCCTCTCTCCAATATAGACCTCCTCCCTCACTACAGACCTCCCTCAATATAGAGCCCCTCTCCACTATAGACTTCCTCCTTCAGTACAGACTACCCTCTCTACTATAGACCTCTTCCCTCACTACAGACCCCCCTCCCTCACTACAGACCCCCTCATCAATATAGATCTCCTCCCTCACAACAGACCACACTCTCTACTATAGACCTCCTCCCTCACTACAGACCCCCCTCATCAATATAGACCTCCTCCCTCACTACAGACCCCCTCTCTACTATAGACCTCCTCCCTCTCTACAGACTCCCCCTCTCTCAATACAGATCCCCCTCTCCACTATAGACCTCCTCCCTCACAACAGATCCCCCTCTCTACTTTAGACCTCCTCCCTCAGTACAGACCCTCCCTCCCTCAGTATAGTTCCCCCCTTCCTCAGTACACACACCCCTTTCCATGTGCTAGTGGGGAGGTGGGGGGTTGGATATGTGCTGGGGGGGGGGGTGCTTTGGGAGGGGAGAGGGCTTGTGACCTTCTGGGGGGGAGTCGGATTTCAAAACCAACCCCCACTTCTGACATAGGTCCTCTCCCCTCCCAAAGTTCCCCCCCAGCACATATCCTCCTAATCCCTCCCCCACAATCACTCCTCCATCTTTTTTAAATTGCCCCCTTCCTGGACAGTTGGTCCCCTCCTCTGTCCATCTACTATATATATATGTAACATAAATGTAAGATTCGTGTAGATAGATATGATCAGTAGAAATCTGTAACCGTAGATCTCGTCTCCTCCATGTTATTACACTGGGCAGGAACACTCAGGAACACTCAGGAACGCTCAGGAACACTCAGGAACACTCAGGAACGCTCAGGAACGCTCAGGAACACTCAGGAACACTCAGGAACGCTCAGGAACACTCAGGAACACTCAGGAACGCTCAGGAACGCTCAGGAACACTCAGGAACGCTCAGGAACACTGTCAACGCTCAGGAACACTCAGGAACACTCAGGAACGCTCAGGAACACTCAGGAACGCTCAGGAACACTCCAGAACGCGGGGCTGGTGATCACTGTCACTGACCTTCCCACAATGTGGGTTCTCTGAGTCCGCTCTGCAGGGCACTCTGTCTGCCACCTCCAGCTCTCTTCACTTCTGACTTGCTATGCCCTGCTTTCTATGTGATCCTGGTGTGATCCCAGTGTAATTCTGATGTGATTCTGGTGTGATCCCAGTGTGATCGTGATGTGATTCTGGTGTGATCCCAGTGTGAATCTGGTGTGATCCCAGTGTGAAAACTGGTGTGATCCCAGTGTGACCCCTGTGTGATTCTGGTGTGATCCTGGTTTGATTCTGGTGTGATCCCGGTGTGATCTCAGGGTGATTCTGGTGTGATTCCGGTGTGATCCTGATGTGATTCTGGTGTGATCCTGGTATGATTCTGGTGTGATCCTGATGTGATTCCGGTGTAATTCTGATGTGATTCTGGTGTGATCCTGGTTTGATTCTGGTGTGTGATCCTGATGTGATCCTAATGTGATTCTGGTGTGATCCCGATGTAATTCTGATGTGATTCTGGTGTGATCCCGGATGTCATCCCAGTGTGATCCTGGTGTCATTCTGGTGTGATTCCAGTGAGATCTCAACAATATGATCCTGGTGTGATCCCAGTGTAATTCTGGTGTGATCCCAGTGTGATCCTGGTGTGATTTTGTGGTTATTCTGGTGTGATCCCAGTGTGATTCTGGTGCGATCCCGGTGTGTGATCCTGGTGTGACCCCTGTGTGATTCTGGTATGATCCTGGTGTGATTCTGGTGTGATCCCAGTGTGATTCTAGTGTGATCCCGGTGTGAATCTGGTGTGATCCCAGTGTGATTCTGGTGTCATCCCGGTGTGATCCTGGTGTAATTCTGGTGTGATTTCCAGTGAGATCTCAGTATGATCCTGGTGTGATTCTGTTGTGATCCTAGTGAGATCCCGATGTGATCCCGGTGTGATTCTGGTGTGATCCCATTGTGATTCTGGTGTGACCCCTGTGTGATTCTGGTGTGATCCTGGTTTGATTCTGGTGTGATCCCGGTGTGATCTCAGGGTGATTCTGAAGTGATCCCAGTGTGATTCTGGTGTGATCCTGATGTGATTCTGGTGTGATTCCGGTGTAATTCTGATGTGATTCTAGTGTGATCCTGGTGTGATCCTGATGTGATCCTAATGTGATTCTGGTGTGATCCTGATGTGATTCTAATGTGATTCTGGTGTGATCCTGGTGTGATTCTGGTGTGATCCCGGTGTCATCCCAGCGTGATCCTGGTGTCATTCTGGTGTGATTCCAGTGAGATCTCAACAATATGATCCTGGTGTGATCCCTGTGTGTTTCTGGTGTGATTCTGGTTTGATTCTGGTGTCATCCTGGTGTGATCCCAGGGTGATTTTGGTGTGATCCCGGAGTGAACTGTCCTTTACTCTTCCCTTCCTTTTCCCCCAGTATGGACACAACAAGGATCTTTGATCACATTGTATATTTTATTGAAGGAGATAAAAGCTTTAATTGGAGATAACAGAAGATTAAAAGAGGAACTGAAATAATAAACAAAATTCTTGCACCCGTGTGCTTTCCGTGTCATCGGGGGGGGGTGGAGCTTGGACATGTTGGAGCGCGGTCAGAGAAGGCACGAAGCCACGGCCCCGCTGGTTGTCGCCCACTGATCTGGAGCGTGTGAGGAGGGGGCACCCCCGATGACGATGCGTGGACTGTTAAGAAGGAATGCCCCCCCCATGTGTGTTCCTGAGTGCAGCGTGCTTCTCCGTGCATTGGGCGTGTGAGCGGCGTTACACGTGTCCCCCGCCTGCAGAGATACCGCCCTAGGCTAAGGGACATTTTATTTTTCCCGGGTACTGTCTTCTTTCACAAAAATAAATTCTAGACAGAAACACAGTAGCAGCTCTCAGTGATGTGGCTTTGCCTGTAAACAAATCCAGGTGATCTTCAAGTCAGTGTTAGTAAACAAAGCCGTGTGATCTCGTTACAAGATATCACCTGATCCGTCCGCATGGCGAATTGTGAAGCAGATTTGGAATCCGGTGGAATCTATCATTCAGGCCAAATAATTCCTCTTCTCCCCGAGTGATGCGGGCCAACCACATGTCACCATAGCTATCAGAGATGTGGCTTTGTTTATAGAC